TATTATACCAGGCTTATTCTTTTGTTGTTTTATTGTCTGGCTTTGAACTCAAGTTCTTCTTGTCTTGGCCTCCAGAGTGCTGGGATTATTAACATTGTCACCACACACCTGGATCACTAGGTTTACAATTGCTATTTGTTTTGGAGAAATTACAGTAAAGTTAGGAAAGTTGGTCCCACTTTGCCCATCTCTGGGTTCCCAGCACCTCCATCTCGAATTGTGCAGTTTCCTGTTGATCTTCACCACCTGGAGAGCTTGAAGCCGAAACCTGTAACCTGAGAGATCCAGTGATGGTACAGGTGGCTGCCTCCCTTCCCAGAGCTGGCCTGCACCCTCTAAGTCCAGGCCTTTCCTGCCCACGTGAGTGTGCTGCAGCCTGGGTGCAAGGTTCATGTCCAGAGAAAGATCCACGGCATGGAGAGATGAGCTCTTGGTCACTTCCAGAGTCTTATAAACCCATGGCATTCAGCTGTGCGTGAGAGTAGTCAGTCCTAAGTGGCAGCTCAGGGCAGGTGGGTGGTGTGCACTTCCACAACCGACTCAGGCTTCACGCTCTTCTCTCTCTCTTTCTCTCTCTCTCTCTCTCTTTCTCTCCAGGAACTTTTAGGTTGAAATATGCCCCTCCAGCAGAAAGTCTGGACTCCACGGACTGATCCTTTTTTTTTTTTGGCAACAGAACATTTTATTAAGCCATGAAAATCACATAGAGAACTGAAGTCAAGTTGCTGTGGAGCCATGGAGACCTAAGGAAAAATCACATAGAAAAACGGAAGTCGAGTTGCTGTGGAGCTTAATATTTTTAACCCAAAGGTGCTTTACTTTACTATACTGGATAGAGAATCTAGCATAGAAGTTCGTCAAACTCGATTTCATTGCCAAAATCCTAGTTTGGAGCTTGATACAAGGATTGCCTAGTGGATGTCTCCACAGCAGTGATGTGGCCACCTCACTGTTGTTGCAGTATGGAGACCTGTCTCCTGAAGATCGCTGGTCCTTCTAGGCTCACACATAAATTCCAGGGCAGCTATGCACGGCCTGAGTCAAGACTGCAGGTCGGTGTTCTCTCAAGTGGAGTTCCCCAGTCGGATCTAAGACCCCTTTGGGCTAGGAAGTGCCAACTGGATTTTGCCGTTTCCTAGAGTGGGAGTCTCATGTCTGGCTTCTTAGGATTGCACTACCTGACAAGGACCTCTTCAGTCTGGGAGGCAGACTCTTCTGGGACCCAACAATGTAGGGGACTCCATCAGTGGGCATTGGAGTTGGCACCAGCAGGCTGCTCGGCCTAGTACACCCAGAGGTCACAGGGTGTCCTTCTGCAGACACTTGGAGCAGTTCCAGGTTTTTAATATTTTTTTCTGTAAACAAATTTACACAATATAGTAGATAAGACATAGCTCACTCTTGACAACTTCGTTTCTAAGGGTCCAAGTCCCAGGGAATCCAGTCACCGAGGCTTGAGACCACCCCTCCCATTGGTGGCTTTGAGCCTGCTCTCTCCAAACAAGAACCAACTCCTGAGGACTCAACTTTGTGAGTTGACTGTGACTGATGCTCCCCATTCTTCAGGAAGCTGGCAAGTTGTCATGTCTCAAATGGCTTCCCCAGAGCTCACTGCAGATGAATTCACACTTGAGACAAACATTCAACAGTAATACAGTCCTGTGATTTATGAACAAAAGACTGGAAACTGTCAGCTTCTTTTGTGTTAGGCTGTGTGTTGATAGTTAATTCCGTTAAAATTGCCTGGAAAACTTCAGTAGAGAGATGCAAGATTCCTCGAAACCACTCACCAGTTACAGTCCAGACCAGGGGTGGGGGTGGCCCTCACTCAGTAGGGTATGAACATTTCAGCCCCACCACAGTGGAGGCATGAGGGGCTTAGACCTTCGAGGTTAAAGGGAATTTTATGTTCAAATAACATTATTTAAAATGCTGAAGCCTTCGGTGTTAAAAAAAATTACTGGTAAGATCTTGCCAAGAATTTTCCAGCTTCGTATTTATGGAGAAGAAAATCTCAGTCCTTAGACCATTCTTCAGATGGGACAATCACCCTCATGCAAAATTAGTGTAAATTACAAAATACCCTATAACTGGAGGCGCTGTGATGCAAGGCTTCATGTTCTAAGATGGGCTTTCTATCCGTGGAGACCAACACGGAAGGCTTGAGTGTTGTTGATTCTATGCAATGCAGGATTGATAGACCTCTTTTCTGTCCATGGCACACAGTATCACATCTGTTTTGAGGTGATGGTGATGAGGCTTTAGGGGATGCTCTGTTGATCTCTCACTCAGTAACACTACAAATGTCAAATACAAGAACTGACACAACTTTGCCTTAAAGAGCACCAGACTGGGATTGGTCGAATTGTGTTAATAAGGAAGACTTAGAGTGTTCATTGATGTTTACGATTTTAATATTTCTGAAGGCCATTACAGTGGCCTGGATATGTGCTGAAAGCCAAACTTTTAAATTTTTTGGTTTTTTTTAAACAAAGAAATATTTTAAATAAATCCTATTTCAACACAGAAATTGTTGAAAACTGTCTCATAGCAAAAGAAAAAAATCATATTTAAGTTTTTTTGTTTTGTGGTCAGTATAGGGAATGGAAGTGTCTTGTTACCCTTTCAGCTGATAACCTGAAAGACAGCAGTCTGCTGTGGCAACTCCCACGACTTGTGGCATTCAGCTGAGGCGAGCGAGCCCCAGCACCATCTCAGCTGTTCAGACGGCAGAAGTCTGTGCTGTGTCTGGAAGCCGCCAGCTGTCTTTGAAAGAGCTTATGTGGTGTGGTGTTTCTGTGAAGGCGGCAAGGATTACATCAGGCAAAGGAGCACGCATACCATGGAAGCATGGGCAGCATTTGTGGGTGGGGCTCACTCCCAGAGCCTGTAGAGGCCATCGGCATGGCCGACACTTACTTCTTCACTGGGAGACTCCGTTGTTACACACCGAACAAACCAGCCCTTGCCAGTAATTTTCCCAAAACTGCTGTGTCAGGTGGCAGTGGTACCCAGGTGGGCATAGCCCTGGGACTGCAGTGTCAGTTCTAATTCTGTGTTAACATCTCAGGGTAGGAAGTGGGATGTTCCGATAGGAAGGAGGGCACAATGTTGGGACAAAACAGCTATGTGACTTTTTTATTGTTTAAGCAAACTACTCAATTTTCTACCTTACTTTCTAGTTTCTGTTTCATGCTTGATAGTAAAAATTGGCAAGTGTTTTAACACTGAAAACTCCTAACTTCTGAAGAGTACTGAGGAATGGGAACTAGCTCTTACAATAAAGACAAACTATTTCTTGAACATATATACAGTTGGATATTAGGAAACCAGTGACATACTCATCTCCCAAAGATGACAGCAGCCAGATGGTTAATGCAGTAGTTAGCAGCTTCCGTGTGGAACTCCAGTTAAGCTTCCACTCCTTTCTGCAAGTCAACCTGGCTTGTACTACATGCAGGTGCAGAGGCATTTTCAATGGTGGTACCTTTGCCTACATGTGTGCCATGACAGTCCCTTGAGGACAGCCTGATGGTAACTGGGTCTCACTTTCCTCACTCCGTCCCTGTCACTCTTTCTGCTTCCTGATATTTGGTCTGACATGCTAGTTTTATAGCCAACTAATGGGTAACATTACTTGCTAAAGTCTTAAAAGGTTGCAGGAACTGTCTGCTCAACCTCATCCCCAAGGGCAGTCTTGGGGAACATGAGCAGGGTTAGCTGTCCTTTCCAAAGTGCAGGTGACTCCCATAGAGCAAGTCAGATGACCATGGGGTCCAGAGACTGGACTGCTGGCCTGTCCCGTATTTGACTGAATGCAGCACCTGTAGTCAACACTTGGCAATATTTCAGAAAACCACATACTGTAATGGCAAGAACAGGTCCAGGTCACTGTCCTACCACAGGGGAGGCAGTGACCCAGCCCTCAGCACAGATCAGTTCTCACGCACACAGAGGAGGTGTTGGTACCAAGACTGAACCTTCACAGATTCTATTGGGCATATTTTCTTTTTTAGGAATGAAGGACAATTATCCCCATTTTTGAGCCATTCTTTTGTCAATTTACAAAATTGCATGTAACTTTATAAATATTTTTAAAAGATATAGTTTTGTAAATATTTAATATTCTGCTAATTTGATTTTGAATTGTAAATGTCAAGTATTCTGTTTTTGGGGTTTTTATGTTTTATTATACTTTGTTAAAAAGGAGAAATTGTACATTTTTAGACTGTTTTTATGAGTAAATTTAATGTACGGAAAATAAAAATTTTAAAAAACTTAAGAGTTCTATGTACCTAGATCTTTGTCACAGAGGCAGGCCACTTTCCCAGCTCAGTTCTCTTCAGGTAAGGCACCTTCCTTTCCTCCTCCAATTTCTAGGACTCTTTCTGCCAAGGTTCCCAGCTTTGAACAGTGTCCTCACAGTACAAATACTTAAATAGGTTGAAGATGTTTCAGCTGCACGATCTTTGACAGTCACATCCCTGGGATATGATATGGCCTAACCTGGTCTTCTAGAAAGGGGATTCTGGTAACAGCACTGTCTGACACTGACTTGACCAGTATTTGCATTGTGAGGGTTACTGAGGCATCCCTCAGATCCAGGTCTGTCCAGTTTCCTCTGGACAGTATGGGCAACCCCCCAGTGCAGCTTCTTGGGCTGGCCTGAAGAGATTCTTGAACAGCTTTGCAGAGCTGCTGTCTGCTCTAAGCTGAATTGCTGACACTGTCTCCCAAGTGCCAGCAATGAGTAATAAGTGTCCACATGAGTAAAGCCTCCCACACCAGCCATTCTTTGCTGTGTGCGCTCTGGTGGGCAAGGCCGCCTTGGGTCGGTCCCACAGCAGTGACTGCATCCTGACAGCTAGTACATCAGTCGGCTCTCCAGAGAATTTAAAAGTAGGAGCTAGTGGCAAGGTGCTGACCAAGGGGAAGTGCCCTCCCCCTCAGCTTACTGCAGGGCCCAGTTCCCATGCTAACACCACGAGACAGCTCTCAGGACAGGTTCAATTGTGCCTTTATTCACTTAGTGCATCGAAGTATACAGGTGTCCTATAAATGAAGGCCGCCACTCTGAGCAGCGTTTTTAAAGCAGTATTACAGGAATCCTTATTGATCGCACCGTAGTTATAAAAACCGGGGACATAATGACATACACAACCTACACAAGACAGGGTAGTCAGATATAATGATGTAAATAAAATAACATTGAAAGTCAGCAAGTGGACAGTTGCATGCAGGGAGGGGGAGGTGCCTGTAAGGAGCTAGGATACTACGTGGCTATGTTGGCTTCCCTCCATGACAGCAGGCAGTTCTCACTGAGATTCTCAGATCACAAACATAAATGACCAAAGATGGTCTGAGTGTCACAGTGGACCACATGCAGGTAGTAGGAAGCAGTGGTTTGCTTTAGCTGGAACTGGCCATGGATCTCTGTCAAGAGCAGGTGTGTCTCCTGCTGCCGGCGTCATCACAGCTGACATCTAATGTACTGACATGGAGTGGGAGAATCTCAACAGCTGTCTGATATAACTACCATTACAAAGACAGTTATACCCTAACAAATTATTTATAGCTTTAAGATAAATGCAGATGGAGTGCATTTGAACTTCAGAGTTGAGTCTACCATTTGACAGCTGCATCCTAATGCCAGCACTGCATACCTGATTGTTCCCCTTCCCTGAAGCAGGTATGGGCCAAACAGAATCCAAATCCAATCTTGCAGCCTCCTTAGATGCTGAACCAAGAGACCCCCTGTTCAAGGCTGGAACTGGTCTCTGAGCAGTGAGGAATATCTGGTAGCATCTAGACAGCAGCAGGTAAGCTCCCCTGCACTGTTGAGGGTGAGCAATGGTAGTGTAGCTGGGGGTCAGGACCAGGCTACTTAAAGCCATATCCTACACATCTAACTTGTTTTGGGCAAAGCTAGAGCCCTCTGGGGCCTCTGCTAGACAACCTGGGCCGAGGGACTGCTTAGGCAGACTTCTCTACTGAGTGGAAGCCCTTTTAGAGAAGGCAGCAGATCCCAGGAAAAGACTGCCCCTGATGCTGCTATTCCATTTAAATCCCTACAGGAGAAAAATGTCAAAATAACGTGGTCTGTTTTATTGGCAACTCAGGATGCAAAGTATTTTATTTTTAAACTTCTAAAGTTTGAACACAAGAGAGCCTAATTTAGATGAGTTTCAAAGCTGAATGCGCTTGCATGGAGCTCAGTTTCTTGCTGACAAACAGTTCCTAACACCCTAGGTGGGCGCCTATGTTCTGATCTGTGAATGGTAAGCTGCCCAGCGTCTGCTGGTAACATCCCTTTTTTCCTTGATAAGGGCTTAACAAACATTAGGCACTGTTCTAGTCTTACACAGCCAGTGCTGTTCCGAATGTCTCCTGGGAGGCGTACACCATGTACAGAAAGCCATCTTCGTCCTTCTCACTCTCGTACACTTCAGAGATGGGCGTGGACACGCTCACCATGCTGTGCCCGTTCACCAGGAGGAAGAAAGCTTGATTGGCGTTAAGCTGTAAGCGCCTTCTGTGGAGAGAAGACAGTGGGGAGACCTCACACTGTGCAGAAAAAAAAAGACTGATCTGGCCAAACTAAGCAAGTCCACAGCTCTCTTCTTACCATGTTACAGCCCTCAGTGATGGTTGGAATTACGGACTGGCTCTATACCTAAGGCAGTTTGAAACTGTCCTGCAAAACACCATTAGTATTCAAAATCTACAACTGGCCTTCGCCTTCCAGGTTGCGTAGTTCCGAGTCCACATTCTCTTACTAACTCTCAGTGTCCACAAATTTAAGTGTTCTTGACAGTTTACTAGCATAGGGTGGGGATCCTCAAACTGGGACCAGCAACCCACCATACCTAGCAATATTTTAAAGAATCATCATCCAGAATGTGTGCCCAACCTTTAGCCCCTCTGATGTGATACCTTCTGTAAATATGCTAGACTATATTCACAGCTGTCCTGAGATACATGCAGCTGCAGGTTGGACCCACCTGACTTACAGGGACATGAAAGAAGTAGGAAGGACCTAAGACTGGCACCAAGATGGGGAGAGGAGAAATGTCACTCAAGGAAACAAGACAAGAAATGGCCAAATACCTAATTATCTTGATGAGCTCACTCATGTTCACATGATCGGGTACAAGGAACTTGGTTTTGTCCAAGACAGGCAGTTGCTTCTCACCCTTGTATCGCTCTATTATCACCTGCAAAGACCAGAGACACTTAGCAGCAGGCACACTGCCCCCCATGCTGTGGCCAGCATATGCCATGCAAAGTAGGCCCTAACCCAGTCTTCCCTTGGCTTCCCCACATGACCAGCGTTCATTCATTGCCTGTGAAGTGTGGCACAGGACATGTAACAGGGCCACCAGGCACCCTTTTTGCTATTTAAACTGTTTGTGCTAGGAGTAAAGGTGTATGTCTCCATACCTAGCTGTTTTTTTTTTTTTAATAGTTTAATACCATCGCCTAGTTAGCCTTTAACTCACGGCTGTTCACCTGCATCAACCTATGTGCTAGGATCATAGACATGACCCTCATCATACCCAGCAGGTATACAAAGCCATAGTTTTACATACAGATCAGATGGTTGTGAACTGCCATATGGGTGCTAGGACTCAAACCCAGGACGGTCCTCTGTGAGAGCAAGTACTCTAAGCCACTGAGCCATCTCTAACCCTAAAATAATTTTTTGTTCCCTGAGAATTTTTTTTACTTACTAGTTTTTTTTACATTTCAATCCCAGTTCCCCCTCCCTCCTCTCCTCCTGCTCCTCAACCTCCTCCCTCCTATCTGCTCCAAGGAGAGAAAATAATTAAGAAATGTTAAAAAGCAGATGGGTGTGGTAGCCCATGCCTTCAATGCCAACACTCAGGAGGCAGAGGCAGGTCTGTGAGTTCAAGGCCAGCCTGGTCTACAGAGTGAGTTCCAGGATGACCAGGGCTATTATACTGAGAAACTTTCTACGAAGACCAAATAGATAATTAAAAACAAAATAAAAGCTAGGTATGCAAGCCGGGCGTTGGTGGTGCATGCCTTTAATCCCAGCACTCAGGAAGCAGAGGCAGGCGGATCTCTGAGTTTGAGGCCAGCTGGTCTACAAAGCAAGTTCCAGGACAGTCTCCAAAACAATACAGAGAAACCCCGTCTCAAAAAACCAAAAAAGAAAAAGCTAGGTATGCATATATGGCACATGTATATATAATCCCAGCATTTTGAGACTGAGGCAGTGAACAAGGCTAATCCAGATTACAGAGACCAGTCTCTAAAACTAACCAAAACTAAACAAAAAGCTGCTACAAGATCTGAGCATCAATGGGCCTCAGAACCCTCAGTACACCACAGTTTCCAAGTGCCATGGAATCCATCCAGAGAACAGAAATCCCTGCCTGGTCATGGCATGGCAGAGAGGAACACTGAGGGGAAGCACTTGTCTGAACATGCTCCCTGGGTGTGACCTGCATGTGGTTCCTTGAAAGGCTGCCATTCCCATCCCTGGGAGACTGAAAAGTCCATACTTTGAATTGCTTGGAAGCATGGCATCCACAGGAAATGCCAGCTGTGGGTGCCACAGACCTGGTTATATGAGGCAGACCCTCCACCATCAAAGTGCAGAGCAATGACAGAGCACATAAGAAAAGACCTTAGCACTCTTCTAGAAGGCCAGAAGTGTGGGACACTAGAGGACACTAGTGTCCTGAGACTGGCTCTCAACAGGTTCCAGCCCCTTGTTGGGAATCTCCTTAGTGACATAATCATCTCCAGTTCCAATTTGGGAAAGTATACAAGGTATTAGATAGAGGAAGACATGTGGCTTGCTGGTCTGAAAGAGGCCTCTGCCTTCAAGGTTTCCAGCCTGGAATTCCCAGGAGCCACACATTGTGGTCACCCTGTCCTCAACTAGGCAGCGCTAAGCCTGGTCTCATGCTTGCTTGGTGTCATGAACAACTCAGTTTCTGTAAAGATCCTGGAGTTACTGCAGGAGGTGCCACCGGTGTGCACGTAGGCCACAGCCCTGCAGGAAGCTGTGTGTAAACCCTGGCAGGCTCAGCTCAGGTGGCTGTGCTTCCTGCAAATAAGCCGGGCAGGCACTCCAAATGAAAGACTGCTTTAGTCCAGGAAAAGCTACTCATGGGGCCCTGCCCAGGAAGCCTTACCTCCATGTGAGGACAGACTGGGAAATGTCCAACCAGTGCAGAACAACATGTCCCACCTCACCCCACTCCGTAGCAACCCCTCCCTCCTCAACTTTGAGAATGACTTGACGGGGTTAGTGAGAGAGCTACATAGGGATGGATACACCTGCAGGACTTGGCACTAGGGTGCCCTTCTAGCACAGGGACAGCTGATATCCTGACAGGCTAAGTCCTCTTCTACTGTAAAAGAGGCACCACACCAGAATTCTTCCCCAAATGTGGGAACTAACTGTAGAACACTGAGCCACTTTGAACCCTGGCCTGTCCGTGCCTGACTCACAGCTCTGTATAAGGACTACAACCAAGGAGCACAGCATAGAGGGATACTGATGGCTGTCTGTCAGCAAAACACTCAGTAAGGGGGTGAGAGTCATGTCCCTTCATCTCCTACAAAGCAGCCATGCCTCCTTGAGGACTACTGATTCCCAGACGTCATCCTTGTTTCCCTTGCAGTGGTGGCTGGAGTAGAGTTCAGTAGTCACATGCTCAAGCCTTGGGTTTAGTTCTGATATCATAGAGGAAAGAATAATTCTAGCTCATCTATCCCTTTAATGTGCACAGGAGCAGCAAGTTCTGATTAGGAAGAAAAGCATGTGGTTAGGTGGGCACACAAAGCCCATGAGTACAAGAGCTCTTGATGGTGGTGGTTTCTGGGGGAGGGGTCCCCCTTCTTGCCCAGAAGTATCATCATAGCCACAGTAGAACCTACTGGGATCTTGGTGGGGTGTTGCTCCCGGATGAGCCGGACATCTTCCACTCTTTGTTCTGCAAGAAAGGAAGAGACAGTGATATCAGGGGCCATGCTACCAGTTCCTGCTGGTTGGTGGACTGTCCTCTAATTGAGGCACATCAGAGCAGTGAGGACACTTCTCCCTGGACTCCGGGTTTGGATCACATCTCACCACTGAGCACTATGGCAGTCAGTGGGCCCAACAGCAATGGCAACGCAGCCCAGAGGGTAAAAACCCTCATTTCAAGGGGCTACAATCCCAGGTGTATAGCCACACAGAGCAGGTTAATTTTGTAACTTGGGGGAGAAGAGGGTGGTCTCCCAATCTCTCCTCTGATACCTGCCAAGTTTTGTTAAATTTTCAGTCCAATGTGGATAAACCAAGGACTGAGGCACTTTGACTTAGCATTAAGTGGTACTATTCAGGATTTGTTTTATTTATTTTCTGAAATGGAACCCTCTTGCCTGTGCCTGAGTTTTCCCAGTGCTGAAATTACAGCTGTGCTCCTGGGTGTAGAGTGTAAGATACTCTACAAAAGCAGTCCCCAAAATCAAAATCCCACAGTCAGATGCTTCCCTGAGAATACCTCCCTTTCATTGTGTGGTTTTGGAGGCAGGGCCTCCTGTAACACAGCTTGGCCTGAAACTCATCATGTAGCTGAGAATGACCTCTACCTCACAAGTGCAGGAAGGCCTACAACCAGTCCTGTCTTCGTTTCAACAGTGTACCAGGCTTTTTGTGCTAATAGGAAAAAGTCCAGGGCTCAGTAAGGCCATACAGCGGGCCATACACCGCATTCATGGAGGAGGAGGTGACGCTAAGCAAAACAAAACTAGCAGAACCATGACACTTTGGGTCGGACTCATGGTCTTTGCAAACAGTGTTGTGAAAAATCTTGAGAAGGCTCTAGAAAAAAAATGATGCTGTGACCAAAATGAAGACACATTTTGATGTTACTGCCAACTGCATTTGGGTTAAAAAATTGTTTTCATCACTTAGAAAGGCCATGGAAATAACTCGTGTTAAGTGCAATCACATGGCTTTGCTACCATGTGGAAGAGTCCTAACTGATATTTCTACCAGTGGTTCTTCCTGAAGGATCAATAGCAAATTCAACTGCTATTCATAGCAAACTCAAGGGACTGGGGATGTGCTTACTGACACAAAGTCAGGTTCTGCAGAAACAAGTCACCTGCACCAAGGGGCTTACCCCTTCACCCTTCTCTACTCTCTGAAGAGCTGGCTGTGCTCTCTGAACCATTTTTCCCTGTCACCCCACAAATGGGATGGTATCATCTACCCATGGCTCCTGCCTCTTTCCAGAAAACCCTCCATTGTATCCCTGCTGAATACTCCAGGGTGTAGGATGTCACTGCAATGAACTCATTCTAATTCTAACAAGTAGCTGCTTACATACCTGGCATACATTCCACACTTGGGGGCTGCAGAAATGGCTCAACAGTTAGGAAGGAGCACTGGCTCCTCTTGAAGAGGACCCAGGTTCAGTTCCTAACACCCACATATGGTTTACAGCCATCTGTAACTCTTTTCTGGACTCCATGTGCACCAGCAATGGTGCACAAACATACATGTAGGCCAAAGAACCATACACATAAAATTAAAAGCTTAACTCACAAGACCTCAGAGCCCAACCGGGCAAGCTCTTTCTTTTTAAACAATAAAATAAAAATCACCAGGTGGAGGTGGCACATGCCTTTAATCCCAGCATTTAGGAGGCAGCGGTGGGTGGATCTTGAAGAATTTAAGTTCAGCCTGGTCTACAGAGTTAGTTCCAAGATAGCCAGGGATGCACAGATAAACACTGTTTTGGAAAAACAAAACAAACAAACAAAAAAAAACAGGTGTGGTGGCACACGCCTTTAATCCCAGCAGAAGCAGGCAGATCTGTTAGTTCCAGACCAGCCTGGTCTACAGAGTGAGTTCCAGGACAGGCTCCAAAGGTACACAGAGAAACCCTGTCTCAAAAGAATAAATAAATAAACAGAGCCCCAAACTAGTACATGTTAAGAGTCAGACTTTCTAGAGTAGAAACAGTTATCCAGCTGGGCAGTGGTGGCGCACGCCTTTAATCCCAGCACTCGGGAGGTGGGGACAGGCAGATCTCTGTGGTTTTAGAGGCCAGCCTGGTCTGCAAGAACTAGTTCCAGGACAGTCTCCAAAACAATACAGAGAAACCCTGCCTCCAAAAACAAAAACAAACAGTTAATTCACCCATAAGTGGAGAAGGAAAAGATCAGGCCAAAAGGACTCTACCATCAGAAACTACAATGTTATTTTGATTTGTCCCAAAATAAGCTCCCAAAGGGAAGACAGAAGTAGTTTTGGGTTTTGACTAGGCTGGCCTCAAAGTCACAGAAATGCACCTGCCTCCACCTCCTCCTGAGTGCTGGGATTAAAGGCATGTACCACCACTGCCCAGCTAATAGTTGTCTTAAAGCAAACAAGGAACAAAACTGATGGCCCATAAGACTTGCTCAGTGTAGCCGGGCGTTGGTGGCGCACGACTTTAATCCCAGCACTCGGGAGGCAGAGGCAGGCGGATCTCTGTGAGTTTGAGGCCAGGATGGACCAACAGCCTCCAAAACAATACAGAGAAACCCTGTCTCGTAAAAACAAAAACAAAAACAAAACAAAAAAAAGACTTGCTCAGCGTTTGGCTGGCTGCAGGGACAATGAACTGGGGTTCCTTGGAAGAGTGGGGACATTCAGGGCATGCTGGAGGCCTTTGTAAGCAGACAGCTGCTCAGAGGCCAACAGTTTGTACTGGAGGAGACTGGTCCTTTAACTGCAAGGACATATTTATCATGCCTCTCTCCAGACACTAGCCCATGCAACTACAGTTTCAGCCTCTCAGCATCCCAAGTGCCCCCCACCAAGACTTGTAGAGAAGATGACTAAAGACCAAATAAAAGCCACAACATGTCAGTGACGTGATGAGGAGCCGCCTAGGCTCCTTTTCCTTCAGCCTCTGGGAACCAGGAATCCCCCAAGCAGATAAGCAGAGGGTCAAAGTGTTACTATTTTTCTTGAGCTTTGGAAGAACAGATGCCACCCCCAACCCCAACTGCTAAATTATCTGTCTCCATTGGGCCCAACCCTGAAGCTACCTCGATGTTTTGTTTGTTTTGAGAGGGAAGGTCTCACTATGAAGACCTGGCTGGCCTGAGTTTTAACCAACCAGGCTGGTTTAAAACTCAAGACAGGCCTGCCTCTGCCTCCCCAATGCTGGGATTAAAGGCTTGACATCTAGTTGAATCTGATGGGAATCTTGCTATCCAGCAGACCTGTAAAACCCTGGGGCTATTTATTTTGGCCCAGCACCCTGGAGACACCAGTTCACTGGTGCTTAAGACCATCCTGAAAAAACTGAGCACTGTTGGCCTCTCAGTAAATAAATGGATTGCCTCCCCCTCGGGGGTGGGGGTGATCATTTTTGAGATGAATGAACCCTGGAATCACCTGATCAGTTTTCCTTTTTCCCCAGACAGGTTTTGTGTAGCATTACTGTCCTGGAACTTGCTCTGTAAACCAGGCTGGCCTTGAACTCAAAGATCCACCTGCCTCTCATTTAATCAGTTTTAACTTGAAAGTTGTTCCTGTGTTTCTAACGATCTGTAAAGGTGCCCAGCCTGCAGAATGTTCTTAGTCCCCTTCCAGCACTGGGGCTGATGGCTACTTACTGGAAGTGCAAGAATTTATGACAGAAAGCTAATGGGATTCTGCCACTAGGTGGACCCTGAGCTTCACTGCCCTAGGCCCCACCCAAGTCCTTCATCTACAAAGGGTCTGTTTGGGGTGAGCACTAAATCCACCCAGTAAGCATCTCCTCAAGGCGGACAGAGGAGACTCCAGAGCTCCACCAATCTAAATACCTCAAAATGGAGAAGCAAGACTGGGCTTGGCCTCCACAAAGGGGCCCCTCCGAACAACGTCTGTAAGGCAAACCTCTAAACTCTGTGCCCAAAGTCAGGACCACTAAAGTCAGAAGCAAGGAAAACAGCAGCCATCAGATACCCGCGCTTTCTTCAGAATGGCTGGAGTAGAGGGAGATGAAGGCGAACTCGGGGTAAATACCTAAAAGGCAGTTCTACGGTAAAGACAGACGGAACACTGGAGTTTACCCTCGGTCATCCTGGGGATCCGGGTCCTAGCTAAAGTGCACGCCTCACTTTTCCCACCCCACCCCCCTTACGCCTCTTCTTTCTTGACCACTGTTCCAGAATCACTAAAGATCACTACAAGCAAATAAAACTGTCAAATACTTGTTATGAGACAGAGGCTATCTCTGCTACACAAACGTTCCCTGGCGACTGCCGAAGCAAAGGCGGTTGGGTGCTGTTCCGGGGCTTGCGGGGCGCCCGGACTTGGGGCCCACTAAGGACACTGCCGAGAGCGCCGCGGCTTCGGTACCCTCTGTCACCCGGGTCGGGTTTCCAGAACCGGAGGGGACGCCGACACCACCGACGACCAGGGTGACGCGTCGGGCTCGGGCTCCCCAGGGGACTGAGCCAGCAGGGACCGCGAAGCTGGGGGATGGAGAGGAAGACTCCACCGGCCCCTGCCGCGTCTCGGCCCCTCACGACACCACCGGGATCCCGACCACCACCCCTCACGACACCATCGGATCTCCCACCCCAGGGCCCGCGGCACGCACCGAAGCTGCGACGCTGCTTGAAAGTCTTCTCGGACGGCATGGTGCGGTGGTCCGGGGTCGGAGGATACTGCTCCCACGACGGCCACTTCCCTTGTGTCTCCTCAGCCCGCAGCTGAGTCAGGTGACCCGCGGTACGTCAGCGAGGGCGGGACCAAGGGCGGCCCCGACAACCGCCATGACTGGAGTGGCGGAATCCAGGGCGGTGCGCGTGCGTGCCTGCGGGCAAAGAATTGTCTGTCCTGCGCGTGCGCCGGCCGGGCTGGGCGAGTGATGGTGAAAGTCAGTTAAGGGTCTGTTCTTCCCTGGACCTGGAGACTTGCAGAAGCCTTTCCGCCCCTGCCCACTCATGGCCCAGCCGGTGTCCCAGTGTCCACCCCTTTGCCGATGTTATTTGACATCCCTAAATCCCCCACCCCAAAAAAGTCGAGTTGTCTAGCCTTCTAAATAATCTTTACTACGTTTACGAACCCCAAGACGTCTGGAGCCTTTTTGGTGAATCTGAACTTGTGGCGCCTTCCCTTGTGTGTCCTGTATGTACTCTAGGTTGAACTTGAAGAAAAGCAAGGTCTCAGGAACTCCAGGCTTCTCGGGGTAGGTCAAGGTCAATTACGTGTTCCAGCAAAAAGTTGATGACCCCACCTGGTGTTCAACACATCCATTTTCCCTTCCTATAAAAGCACCATTGTGTACCTGAGCTCCTGAGCACGGGGTTTGGGGGGCATACCTTGCCTAGACTTCCCAGGGTGCCAGCCCATGTGTAACCTTAATTTCCTTCCCACCATTTCGCCTCTCAAGCTTTGGTATGTGAGCAGTCAGAGTTCTGGAAAACCAGCAGAAGCATGATCCAGCCATGATCCAACTTGGAAAGTCTGGGAGAGTTCTGTCTGGAGCCCTTTACCTCAGCTGTCCCTTCACTGACAGATCCTTCTACTTCAGCTGACCCCTGGGTGACTCTGTCACAGGCCAGTCCCCACTTTGACTCCTGCAGACTACCTCTGCTGCCGCAGAGCCTGGGCCTGCCCACTCCTCACCCATGGCTGCTGCCTACGGTCTAGGACAGGTTTCAGTCTCATCAGGCCACAGCCTTCAGCCTATCAGCGAGTTTTAGCCTCAAGTGTGAGCCTCCAGCTCCCTGTGAGAGGGAGGCAACGCTGCTTTCCCACTTGAGTTTGTAAGAGCTGGTGACAGGTACAGCGTTGAGCATCCATCCCCAGCTCTGTGGGTGATGCCGTGACTGTGCCAGCCTGGTGTCCTTGCAGATCTACCGCCTGGCACTGCACCATCCCTACACCCCAGACTTCCTTCAACTTTCTTCACATGCTGTTTGTCAAAGGGATTGCCTCATGCATCATCGTGAACAGGAAACACTCAAGACGCATTCTTAAGGTCACAGAGGGCTGTTCCTTTTTATTTGCGCTGTTGTTTGCTTGAGGGCTGTTGTTTTGTATGAGACTCCTGCACTGGGGCCCAAGAAACCAGTCTAAAAGTCAAAATGGAAGCCAAGTCTGGTGATGCAAGACCTGTAATCCTAGCATCCTGGAGGCTGAAGCAGGAGTATCAGAAGTTCAAGGCGAAGTTGGGCCTGGTGCATAGACCTTAATCCGTGCTTCCAGAAGAGAGTCCGTCTGATCTCTGTGTATCTGAGGCAGCCTGTTCTACGTAACAAGTTCTTACATAGTGAGAGCCTGACTCATATAAGGGGTGAGGTGAGATGGGGCTGGTGGCATGACTCGGGGCAAGAGCACAGGCTGCTCTTGCTGAGGACCCGGGTTTGGTTCCCAGCACTCATCTGGGCAGCTCAACTGTAATGCCAGCTGTAGGGGATCTGATACCCTATTCTGGCCTCCTGAGGTACATGCATACATACAGGCAAACATTCATACACATGAAATAAAAATCTTTTTGTGTTTGTCTGATTTCTTGTTAAAATCTGCCTGCTATGCCTAAATGCTGGGATTTAAAGTGTGAACCACCCAGCCCCACCCATTGTAACTCTATCTCAAAAGATAAACAAAGGAAATGAAGGCAGTAGGGACATGCATCTTTAATCCCAGCACTTGGGAGGCAGAGACAGGGATCTCTGTGAGTTCAAGGCCAGCCTGGTTTACAGAGCTAGTTCCAAGACAACCAGGGTTGTTACACAGAGAAACTCTGTCTGAAAACAAAACAAAATGGGGGCCAGGCGTTGGTGGTGCACGCCTTTAATCCCAGCACTCGGGAGGCAGAGGCAGGCAGATCTCTGTGAGTTCGAGGCCAGCCTGGTCTACAGAGCTAGTTCCTGGACAGCCTCCAAAACAATACAGAGAAACCCTGTCTCGAAAAAAACCAAAAACAAACAAACAAAAAAACCACCGTTAACCCAGCCCTAGGAGGCAGAAGCAGGCAAATCTAGTCTACATAGCCCCAGGCCAGCCAGAGTTTCCGAGTGAGACCCTCTTTACCCCCAAAACAGGAACTGCGGAGCCACATTTCCCAGCAGGCTAATTCAACTAGCATAGAAGGCTCTTCTGCCTTTCCAAAGTAGTCTGATGTCAGCTAGTCAACTTTCTATTTTCTGTTCCCACCTTAGGAGGAAAGTGATGTGGAAACGGCCAGTCTTAACATTGCTGCCTGCTTTTAGTTTTTATCTTGTTTATTTATGTATTTGTTTATTGACTGATGTTTTCTTTAACTTTTCTCTGACTATAGAACCACCTCCTGCACTGGCCTCAGGAGAACATAAGTCCTGACTTGTGGAATGAATTGTTATCTGGCTTCACAAAAAAATAAAGCAAATTAAAAATCTTCTAGGTCCCAGGGAATGTACCAAATGGTATGGTGTTCCCAGTCTGTGCAGGACCCTGGGTTTGAGTCCTAAAATGCAAAAGAAAAGCCTTCAAGTTGAAGCTTTGTTCTCGACAACAAAGGAACTGCTTGTTTTTCTGTGTGTTTATGACAGTAAGCCTTGCCTGATGTAGCTTAACTGCTACTGTGTATGTGCAAGAAATTATTCTTCTTTTTCTTTCCTCCCCCTGCAGTGGTAGCACATGTCTTTAATCCCAGCACTTGGGAGGCAGAGAAAGGTAGATCTCTTGAGTTCAAGGCTAACCTGATCTACAGAGTGAGTTCCAGGACAGCCAGGGCTACAAAACAAATCAGAAAAGAAAAAGAAATGGGCTTTTTGTGTTGCTGAACCACACAAAATACAATGAGAGGAAATGTCATACTTGGCTTGTGGCAGTGGGGGAAGGGAAAGAGATGTTTGCCTTCCCTAGGGCAACCCCTTATCAACGAAAGGTTGCAGAAGTGGTGGCCAGGATTGTTCTTTTCTTTTTGCAATGGTGAAGTCTACACCTTTGCAAGCTGCTTTGGCACCACCCCAAGTTCTCATTGCAATGTGGAGTCGAATGGTGCTTTGCAAGACTCACCTCCCCCAGGAGAAGGGCAGTTTATACTTACAGAGTACAGATTCTATTCAAAGTGGGCTAAGTTTTCTTCACATTTGAACACAAGAAGCAGACCCATGGAAATTCACAAACAGGAGTGTGCCTGAGTAGGCATGAGTCACCTATGAGATTCCAGCTCACCTGAGTCTCTTTGGTTTTCTTTAGTATTGCAAGGAACTGAGCCAGGGCCTGGCACTTTCTAGGCAAGTGAGCCAATACCCCCAGTGGTGTAGTGCTTGCCCAGTTTCCAAAATACCCTAGGTTCCAGCCCCAGTTGAAACCAAAACAGAAGGTGTATGGTTTATATGATACATAAAGTATGGTTTATTTTGAATATCCATTATTATGTGTGTGTTTTATCTGAATGTATTTCTGTATACCATGTATGTTCAGTGGCCACAGACACAGGCATTGGATCCTCTAGCTCTGGAGTTACAGACCATTGTGAGCCGACATGCAGGTGCTGGGAATTGAACTGAGGTCCTCTGGGTGCTCTACACCCCTGGGACATGGCTCTAGCCTCCACGATATAATTTATTTTTAGTATCATGATTCTTCCCTCCAAGTCAGAACGCAACGTTTCTATAGGTATATTGTTTACTGTGATGCTTTTAAATTTAATCAAAGCACTCTGGAGGCAGAGGCCGGAGGCTCTTTGTGAGTTCCAGCCACCCTTGTATACACGAGCCCTTTTGTAAAAATACAAATTAAAAACATATCAATCAAACTGCACATTTTTAAAAGTTTCATGTATACAGTGTTCTCTGCCTGTATATCAGAAAAGGGGACCATATCTTATTAGAGATGGTTGTGAGTTATCATGTGGTTGCTGGGAATTGAACTCAGGACCTCTGGAAGAACAGCCAATGGTCCCCAAACTGCTAATTCGTGAGCCCATGCGGTGGTACTTTGAAAACCTCCCACCTCACTGCTTATTCATACTGGGAGGTAGATAGATGACGAAACACCTGGAAACCGACCCTTGTTTCCAATGATGAGCCTAGGTTGGCAACCTGGGCACTCCGGAAAGCGGAAAGTCGGAAGTCAGGACACCAAAGGACCGGAGGACACTTCCTCCCGCAGCACAGAGCCGAGGCGCCACACTCAACATGGAGAGTGCCGGGTCCCTGGGCGTGCGCACAGCCTGCCCCGCCCCTATTTCTTTTTGATTGGAAGAAGCCGCCCATCAGCTTTGTTGTCTGGGAATCTATTGGCCAGCTGTGCAGTCAATCTCAGCCTCACCTGCTCTTTAGAACAAGTAAACAAGAATTGCTCAAGAACGTCTAGGGGAGCAGGGCGGTGTGTTGGTGACCCGCGACCAGCGGGGACAGCGACCTCCGGGAAACCTCTGGGCCACTGGGATGGGGTTGCTTGGTGGTTGCTCCTTGGCTCCCTCCCAGCGCCTTGTGGGGGCCCTTTCCCGCAGTTTCTATCTCTCTGCACTTGTGCTCCTGACTCCTGGCATGGACAAATAGACGCTTTCCCACCATTTACGTATTATTTCCAAGTTCTCGTACTGTAGCCTGGGCTGCTCAGGAACTCGTGTCCCTCCTGTTACCTCAGCCTTCTGGGTGCTGAAATTACAGGTATGAACCACCATGTTTACCCAAAATCGACACCTCCCCCCTCCCCGCCCCCCCAGGTCGGGGTTTCTCTGTGTAGCCCTGGCTGTCCTGGAACTCGCTCTGGAGACCAGACTGGCCTCGAACTCAGAGATCCATCTGCCTCTGCTTTCC